TTAGGATGCATTGGAAGGAGTTCTAGAGTATGATTTGAAAAGGACATGTTGAAGTTTAGAGAAAACTTCAAAAATGACCAAACAAAATTGCCCTGAAGGGGCATTTTGGTCATTTTGACCTCAAGTCAACTGGGGTCTGTAAAACTCCTCCGAAGTGCATTTTTTTTAGTGCAGTTAGTCCATACGAACTAGCCTTAGTACGGGATGAACTGAAGAAAATTGTGAAAATCTGTATGTTTAGTATGTACGAACTGCCTGTATGAACAAAGTTCGTCCCGGGATGAAATTTGGTTCGTCGGGACGAAAATTGTCCAAAGAGCAAGCCGTCCAGGGAAGAAAACTGTTCACGTCTGGACGAATTTCATCTAGAGGGCAAATCGTCCCGGGACGATTTTGGATCATCCGGGACGATTTGAATGGATATATGTTGGATTGAGATATTTTGAATCATTTGAAGAGAGAGAAAGAGAAGGAAAATGAAGAAAAGACTTAATTTTGGAGCTGGCGGTGCGCTTTTCGTCCGTCATCGTAGTTGGAAGATTTGTTCGTCTTGTAGTAAGGACTTCGAATCCTATTTCTGATTTCAAAGATTTCGAGTTTTGGTATTCTTTTGCTTAGTTTTGTGTTTCCGTTACCGAAAAATGTGCATATCTTTGTATTGACGAAATTTTTACCGTGTAACTTTTGGTATGGTATGAAAATGATGTTTTTGCACGATTTAAGTATTTTATGGAAAGTTTTTACCGGATATTTTGAGTTCTGTGCGCTTTTTGTTGAATAGGAAATTATCTGGACATTGGAAAATATTGCTTCAGTACAAGTAAAGTTTTAAAACGTTGTTTTATACGATTTCTGGTAATTTGGTAATTTTCTGAAAGTGTGTATTTTGTCTCTGTTTGGGATTTCATAAACATATAAATAATAATATAGAATTAAAACTTACCCTCTACGTCAAGCAAAAAACTTTTTCTATCACTTAATTATTTTGTCTTTGGAATTGAAACATTCATACTAAGGCATTATCCTCTTTAGCATGAATAAAGTTTAGGAATTTTAACGCTATCATTAACTTCCTCTCTCACAAACTAATATGTTTGGGTCATTTAGCTCATAAGAAGGAGAAATGATTTATGTTACATGTATTATTTTTCTTTATAATAACAATTGTGTTGGTCTTTATTATCTATTAGATTTTTTAACTATGGAGTATGGTATCTACCTAACACCGCTATTTTAAAAACTGCACATTACTAACTTCTATCTCTTAGCTTTATTTGAGACAATCTTCTTATTGCTTTCTACAACAGCTTTCAAATATAAAAATTTATTAATGAAAATAGTGAAAAATAATGATAAGAGATAGAAATAGCAACATGCTCCATTGAATGCAATTGAAATCAATAAATTTATGCAACATTCCATAGAAATAAGTTTTAAAGGTCATCATGGTCACTTCTTTTTGCACATTACAATATTCATGGTAATTTTATGCAACATGCTTATTTAATAATAATAATAAAAAGAAATACATTCGAAAATCACATACCACTCTTTCTTAAACTTAGGATAAAATATATTAAAGAAAAAAACAAATCAATTATGATCTTTATAATAAAATTTAATAATATTATTACTTAAATATTGTTAAATTTGATGATTTTTTTTTTTTTTTAAGATTTGTTTTTTTTTTTTTTTTTTTGTCTATTGTGATTTGAAGAGACATATGAGACATTATTCAGGTAATGTGTTTTAAGTGAAATGTTTCATGGGATCTAGAGTGTAATAGGATATAAAATAATTGGTGATAAAATATTTGAGTACCATTATTAAGTATTTAGCTTTCATGGAATCCTAGAGTGTAATCAAAAACATAGGAAGCGAGATTGGTTTTGAAATAGCAAAAGCATGAGAAGGTATGGGGTCCAAAAATAGTAGAACAAACATACAAAGACATGATACTTAATTTCAATAGATATAAAAAAATTGAGATAATTATTAAGAATTTTGAGATAAATATGTCTGATAGGTTTGGAATCTTTGGATTTACTAATATATTCTAAAAAAGATGGTATAAAGAGTGGTGGAAGGAGATAGGGAGGAGTAGGGGCGCAAACGAGTTGAGTTGAGCTCGAGCTCGTGGGTGTTCGAGTCGAGCTCGACTGCCAATTGCAAGTACCGTGCTCGAGTTCGAGCTCGTCTCGTCTCACGAAACGAGTCAAGTCGAGCGGCTTGTCGAGCTGCTGCGTCGTCCGTGAATCCCGCTCATCGTCCCGAGCTACGTCGAGCTCCGTCGACCGTCGTCCCATCTGTGAATCCCGCTCCCACCTATGAAATTTGATTCCCGCTCTCGCGACAAAGCCCGCTCCTGCTGTGAATCCCGCTCCCATCGTCAAAGCCCGCTCACGTTGCGAATCCCGCTCCCGCCGTCAAATATAAAATTTGATTCCCACTTCCGCTCTCGCTGCAAATCCCGCTCATCTTATGTGAGCTACTTGGCGAGCTATCGAGTCGAGCAGCGGAGTGTTCGAACTCGGGCTCGTTAATCCGTCGATCTCGTAATTGACTCGCGAGCTCGATAGATCGACTCATCGAGCCCATTAATGAGTACAGCCCGATTCGGCTCGTGAGCAGGCTTGACTCGATTGTACCCCTAATAGTGAGTGATTTGAGCCATAGATAGTTTTGCTCTAATTTTTGGACCATCAACTAGTTATTGATGGATTAATTTTCTATCATAAACATTACAACAACAACAACATAAAGCCTTTGTCCCACTGCATGGGGTCGACTACATGAATCCTTTTTTGACATTGTGTCATGCTAGAAGTCAAAATTTCATTTAAATCTAATAAAAAAAGATCATTTCTATCATAAACATTAACGATAAAAAAGTCACCGGCAACGGTAACTATTTATAAGTTATCCTAATTTTTTTTTTTTTTGGAAATTTTTGGGGCAAAGCCCGTATCATTGAATGAAAGAAATTACATGTAAGTCAAAACAAGAAAATTATAATCCAAAATCTCAAACAGCAAAAGAGATTAAAGATTCTAAAGAAGCAAAAACAACAATTCAAAACAAAACGAGGTGGCGGAAAAGCCACGAATTGAAGGACTCAGGTTGCTCAAGTTGATTTGCACGATCCAGGTCAAATGAACGAGAGGGACTAAAATAAGAGCATAGCCCATGATTGCCAAAAAGACCGTCCAAGAGGCAGCTGAAGATCGGCATTTATCATTGCCCTTAGCTTCCAAAAAATACTCCCAGGCAACCGAATAAGGCAACAAAATCGGTATAGCATGCATAATTCTCTCTAGAAACAGGCAAAACAGCAACAGTTGCAGCAGGTTATGCAACAAGCATCGATACAGAGCCCAAACCAAAGAAGTCATAATTTTTTCCAGCCATGAGTTTTGCGGGCAACATCATTTTTGATTTTGACAATCACCGTACCGTGGGTTGACAATCAAAATTACCACCAAATATTCTATCATTAATTTCTAGCTCTCCATAAGAAATAGACAGAGGCAAAAGCAGTTAACAGGTAAAATTTTTAAAATGCACTGTATAACCTTGATCCAAAATACTATCAAACAGCTGGAGCAAATTAGGCCTCATCAAAAGACTATTCACGCAAGGATGGATTATCGAAAAAAAAAAATGTCAATAAATATGTCAATAATCAGCGACAAAAAATTTCTATCATATACTCCATCGTCAATAGCTTGTAATATTGTAGTAGTGATGGCCCAGGGAGTTGGAAAACGTACATGAATGAAAAGAAATGGAGGATGTATTTGCTTTAATTTTGAATGATTTGTGATCGCCCTCCACCAATCACAAAAGCCCTTGCTAAATATCTATTCTTGGGACCAACTCTGATATTAGTTGCAAATACAGGGAAAAAAATAAACAATATTCTTGTGATGTTTTACATTTCAACTAAAATGGAAGAGGTTTTGTCATGTTTTCATATATATTATGTTCCAAAATATTTAAAAATTAGTATCATCGTACATATGATTAAGAACTATATATATAATGGTTGTAACCTACTATGAGAAAATCATCCTCCATATAATTTGGCACTCAATACAAGAAAAGAGCTTTAGCGACAGTTTTAGCTGTAAAAAAAAAAATCTTGCGACAGTTCTAAAATTGCTACATGACCGTTATATTTACTATTCACTGCAAGAGGTTTTCACAGAGGTTTTGCAACCGGCGAGATAGATATTGAAACGTTTCTTTTAACATAGGTTTTAACCGATGCGGAAAGAGGATCTTTTAGTGGCGGTTTTCAATTCGCCCCTAATAAATGAAGCGAAATTATATAATTTTTGTTATTGACTCAACAATATATATTATTATTGTCTCAAATTAAAACCTTTGAACCTAATTACAGCTCTAAAAAATTACATTGCTCACTAATTTGACTTCATCTACTTAATCAAAAGCTACTAAAAAGTTTAAAATTTTGTGGCTTATTGCGTGGCTAATTTGTCTAGCTTTGTGCCGACCCCATAGTGAAGCTTTAGATCCCAACTTTAAAGAGATATCTCACCAGCAACAGCTTAAACTACTATTGTTAATTGTATATTAGCTGTTCCTATCATTATATTTGGAGTTGGTAATACCATTAATAACTTATATTGACCTCAACACCAACTAGATCAATTATAGAAATCATTCTTGACCCTTAAAAAGTTGCCTCCACATGCACATTTTGCACATCCCTAGCACTCATTCCTTAGAAAATTCATTACGTTGAAAAATATGAATAAGAAAAAGAGCTTAAAGGCAATAACTATATACCTTCTTAGCTGGTTTCCTTCACCAACAATTGGAAGAAAAGTACCTATTAACCTCCAAAGGGAGTGATTAATAATAATAATATAATGAAAGAAATTAACATGGCGACAAGTTTCTATAGTGAAATACTCATCACACTTCATCATCTCCAAATAAACTTGTTAGCTTGGTTTCAGCACAAGTTATCCATTATGGGGTATGAGAAGACGCTTGCCCGAAGCTTTAGGCAAGCTGAGCCTCAAAAGCTTACTTTTGGATTGCTTCTCGTATGCTTCATTGTTCTTCTAACTTATCTTTCCATCTCTAAGCCTTATGATGCCATCCTCTCTGCCAGTAAATTACTCTTCCTCAACTTAATTTCTTCGTTTTTGCCTTTTAAGTTTAGAAGCAATATTTCTTTTTTCTTTTTTTTTTCAGTTAATTTGAAGTTATCATCAGCTGATTCAGCTCTGTCAGATTTGATGAACAAAGATACAATGAGCAACGGTATAATTAACATCACTGCCTTCTGCATTTTGAGTTCTCAGCGCTTCTTAGTTATTAATTCTTCATAAAATTATTCTTCATAACACTACTGTTTGTTTACTGTGATCGATTAGTTTCAGGGAAAGAAAATGCAATTGTTGAGAGCAAAACTGCAGGCTGTAGTAATATTTCAAGCAAATCAGTACACCTTTGCCAAAGTAATGTAATGCAAAGGAATTCTTCTTCTGCTGATATTAGCTTTGATCTTCCTCCTCTAAGTGAAGGAGATGAAGTCAAAAATATCCAATATTTTGGTAAGTTTATAAATTAGTTCATTGATCATATATACATATACATACATACATGTAAATTTTTGGCAGATTTATTATTTATACTAAAAAAATATGTATTTTTTAAAAATATGATAATATAATTCTTAATTTGTTAACACTTTATTTATTCTTATAATTACCATTATTAAGGAAATTCACATAATTCTCTCTAATTTCTAAACCTTAGTTATGTATAAGTTATATTATCATAAAATTTAAATTAAAAACTTTTATATTGGGAGAATATTCGAACTGAAAAATAATTATGATGGATCTCATCAAAATCATTAGATTTATTTTGAGACGAATAAGTACATGAAATAATAAATAAAAATTTATATTGCACAAATCTCAAAATAAAAATATGATTAGAATATCTTAATCTAATTATTTTTCTTTTTTATTTTATTTTATTCATCTCACGCAAGAACACATTATTTTACATTATCTCCCGTGATACAATCATATATAGATGCCTCCTCATCCCAAATTCCATTTGGAGTCATCTTTGATAGTCACTATAAGTCATTGTCTATCTTGTTAATAAACTAGTAGATTGTTGAAATATAAACATCATAGCCTTTAAAGTATTCCATTAATTAGAATTTTAGATGTGCAAGCAATTTTGGTGATTTTAATATTATAAAAAGGTTATGATGTGCAATTTTTTTTATATGATCACATCATTCAACTATTTAAAATACTTTGTTTTTGTGCCATTCTAATCTTTTGATTTTTACTAATCCACCACTTTTTTTATGAAGTTTAGTGTCATGAAAATTTCTTTTTCTTTTTCTTGCATGATCACTCTAATTTGTGAATTTTAGCCTTTCAAAAAAATTATAATTTTTTTATTATCATTAACAATTACATCTTCTTTCAATTTCTATAATTAAATATTTATATGTAATAATATATTCTAAGATATGTGTATTTTCATCAAACAAATTTTCAACATAAATAAGTAAATAAATTTTTTTACCAAAGAGATCATTTTTAGTAATTAATTTTACCATCTTCATACAAAAAAAATTTATTTTATCATGCATGGTTACTCTAATTTCTAAATTTTTGCCATACAATAAATTATAATTATTTATTAGTATACCTTCATCATTAACAATTACATCTTTTTTAAATTTCTAGAATTAAATATTTATATGTAATAATATATTTTATTTTCTTAAATATGTGCTTTTTCATCCCAAAAAAATTTAAAATAAAGAACTAAATGATTTTTTTTTACAAAGAGAAATAGTTAGTAATTAGATTTATTAAAAAAAAAATAAAAGTTTTTTATTCTAGAAAATGGATGTAACAGAATATTATTTTTTCACTTAACGGAATATTCCCATCCTATTAACACCAATAACATTGAGAGAGATATTTTAATATGGCTTCATAGAGGGGAATCTAAGAGCAGCATTATTTAAAAATTATGTGATTTATTAATAAATGCAAAATAGTCCCTATTGTTTATTGTATTTCAGTGGAAGTGGACACCACATAGAGCATATTAATTAGGCCAAAGAAAAGGCGAAGTCAAATCATCATTATAAGGGCTCTTTATGTTAATTTTTTATTTATAAGGTTGATTTTTAAATTTCACCGACTTTATAAGTAGTAAAGTTGCTTACGCAAAAGGTATTTATTTAAAATTGTTTAAATTTATTATTTTTTATTTATGTGCTAATAATCATCCTTTAGCTTACTCAATTTAAAAAAGTTCAAATACAAAATTAAAAAAGGCCCCCATTTTATTTATATGGTTCATATTTTAAGGCTAATTGAATATCTATGTTGATTTAATTTAATTAATAAAAATCTTAAATTTTATTATTAATATGAGATTGAGGTTTCATTTGAGACAACTTTTTTACTGCTTTCTAAAGAAGCTTCTAATAAAGTAGTAAAAAGTTGTCTCAAATAAAATCTAAATCATATTTATTAAATTCATATTTTGATTTTTTTTAGGAAAAAGTAATTATTTTTATTGGCATATTCATGAAGAAAAAAAATTATATAAGAATATTTTAACAAAAAAAGTGATCAAAATCAACCTCAAAGCTCTTGGATATGCTATGGATTATCTTGACATAAATTTTTTTATTTACAAAAATAACATCATCCATTATTCATAACATATATAATAAAAATTTAATATATTTTTTTATTAAACTCTCAAAAAATTGGTTGTAGAATATGCAAATATATGAGTTAATTAATTAATTTTTTGAAATATTATATTTGATACGTAAATAAAAATTTAGAATAAATTTTTAAAAAGAGTACAACAATAATATCAAGCTTTTATACCACTATGTCGAGTTGGCTATATAAATTATTTTTTTTCATTATGTTCTTTTAAGAGTCAAATTTTTTTAAATGAGTATTACACAAAATTATAT